ATTGTCTTGAAACTTAACTAATAAGACTATTAAAACACTGTAAATTACAGTTAATTTCTCTCTGTTAGCTCTTACAGCCAAAGCTGAATGACCTTTAGGGCCTTCGGACTCCAAAACGCGTCTCAAACGTGACAATCAGGGAACAAAAATACCTCAAATAGATCAATTAGTGGTTAGTAATTGCTCAATTGGGATATAAAAGCATCTATATTGTAAATCTGTTTAATTTTTGTAGTAAAAATCTAAGAAGTTGAATTACAACTTTTTCCTGGATATTGTCTTGAAACTTAACTAATAAGACTATTAAAACGCTGTAAATTAGAGTTAATTTCTCTCTGTGAGCTTGATCAGCTTCCAATGAGTTCTTATTCTGAGCATTTATCGGGGATCCGTCATCTTAAATCTGTGTTTCCTTCACTCTGTTTCTCTTTTTCTGTAAATTTGTCTGCAGACTCTGCAGGAATTAGTCTAATCCGGTGGAGGATTCGTTAATATTCTGCTCCATCCCGCTCCCAGATGTGAAAAAGGCTCCCGGTCTCACACCCAGAATTACTCTGACGCGTTTCCAAATAACCCAGAGCCACGTGCGGCTAATTTCTGATCAATAATCAATTGGGGCATTTTTGTCCAATTATTTTGGCGCACCTGCCTCTGCACGTTTTCCATTGTTTTTTTAAACGCGTAAAAAAGTTGGTTTGCTCTTTAAAACTCACGGTAGGAGTCATAAACAGGCGCGCACCCCCCTCTGCTGGACACTGGCGGATGTAAGCCACCGTGCTGCCTTCAGGGGCTCCTTGGAAATTGTGGCTTCTCACCTTGATCAAGCGTTAATTTGAGAATTTGGCTTTTCTCAGAGTCACCATGACTGTGTAGCAATAAATGAATCCTCTGTCTAATTTAAAGTGCTTTATAATTTGATTATATTATCTATCTAAAGATACACTTACTTGAAAACTTTTTTCTTCGAACGATGGCTGGTTTTGTTCTCACGTTCAGTGAAATTCTTGTATCTAAACCCCCTAAAGTTATAAACCAGTGTCTTGTCTAAAGGTATGTAGCTTAGCAAGGAGCCTGTTTTAAAAGAGACCCTTGGGCATTTTGTTACTACCAAAAAATAAATGATGTTTTCTCATTTTTAGGAAAATACCAAAGAAAACCCAGTCTGGCAGACAGGAAACTGGATTTCTGAGGATTCCCAAAGAGCTGCTGCTGGAAACTGGGCAGATCTCAGCTGGTGAGGAAACTGGACCAGAGGAGGACAGAAGAAGAAGAAGAGCTGGGCCTGAAAAACTCTGTGATCCAGCAGATGTGAGTGTTTAAATACACCAAAAAAAGCAAAAACAAAGCTAAAAATACACCAAAAAAACACCAAAAAGCCAAAAGTATAGCAAAAATGACCATACATTCGCAAAAATGAAAAAAAACAAAGCTAGAAATGACCAAAAATACACCAAAAATAGAGTTAAATATAAACATATTCACAAAAATGAAAAAAATAACTGAGCTAAAGATGGCCACAAACAGAAATAGAGTTAAGTTGACCAAAATAATGCTAAAATGGAGCTAAATGTATCCTGTCAGGTATTTAACAGCAGCTAAAAGCTCCCAGAGTTCCCACAGTGGGTCAGAAACTGGATGAAGTGGACTGAACCCAGCAGTTCTGATGGAGGATGGATCCTCCAGAGCCGGAGCTCCACATTATGAAGCAGTGTGGGATGAAGGAGCTCAGAGATTCACTTTAAACCCCTTATGGTTTTTCAAACTGTCTTATTGCCTTATTTACTGTTAAAAATGTTTCAGTAAATAATTGCACATGTGACCTTCTGCAGGCAGAGCTTAAAAAGCCATTAAAGGTTTTCTTAATTGGCCGATAATAGCAAGAATATACCATCCTGATTGTATTAGGCGTATTAGGCTACAATTCTGACATATTTTCAGAAGAATAAACATCTTTAACCTACCAGAGTCCAGCTTTTCACGTTCCTATTAAACAACAGAAACAATAAAAGTGTAAATTAATGTAAAGTATATTCGTTAAAAGTTCCCCAAAGCTTAAAAACAAAACGTTAAATTGCTTGAAATGCAAATTTAAACTGAACTAATGGTGGAAATGAATGTAAAGTATATTCTTAAAAAGTTCCCCAAAGCTTAAAAACAAACGTTAAATTGCTTGAAATGAAAATTTAAACTGAACTAATGGCGGAAATTAATGTAAAATATATTCTTAAAAAGTTCCCCAAACAAACGTTAAATTGCTTGAAATGCTCATTTAAACTGAAATAGTCCACTGTCCAGCTTTTCAACTTTCTATTAAACAACAGAAACAATAATAGTGGAAATGAATGAAACGTATATTCATTAAAAGTTCACTAAGATAAAAACAAACTTTAAATTGCTTGAAAAGCAAATTTAAACTGAAACAGCGCCCAAAAACCCCACTAAAAACCATAGCAAAACCCAAGTTTCCCCGTTTCCAACAGTACCTGAAAGCAGCAGCAGCCGTGCCTAACGGACGTCACGCGTCGCGCGGTGCATTGTGGGCGCAACATGGGGTGAGTTGCGTAAATGTCAGCAGACGCGGTCGTGTGAATGGAGGTCCGGTCCGTTCACCCCCTCCGTGGCCCGGTCTCAGCCCGCCCCAAGCCGCCCGCATCCCGGCTATGATGCTCCGCATCTCCGGCCTCTCCGTCCGCCCGGAGCTCCGGGGCCTGGCGGCGTACGCCTCCGGGGCCAAAGCCCGGAAAAGAGGCCTGTCCGGCGGCCACCAGCAGCCCGCGGGGACCGGGCAGAGAACCGGGCAGAGGACCGGGCCGTGGCTCCGAAAGTGGCCGGGATCCGGGCCTCTAAACCCGGCCTCTGAGCGGAAGCTATGCCGCCGGAGGGTGGTCTTCGCCGGGGAGAGAACCCGGATGTTCAGCTCGGAGCCTGGAGGAACCGGAGGCCCACCGGGGGCTCTACCGGGGGAACCACCGGGGGAACCGGACCGTCAGCCCCGCGTGTCCGTGGTGGGCATCCCGGACCCGCTCACCTGGATCCGGTGCAAAGTGATAACATATCTGACTGATCTTTACTTTGAGACAGACATCAACTCGGTGGAGTTTGATAGAGGAGTGAAGCAGGTAAAATAATGCCGGTACAAACTGTCAGTGTTTCCATTCAAACCTGAGACTAAATCCAGCCAAAGACACATCCAAAGAGTTATTTGGGGGGGTTAAAGCTGGGAAATTTAAAATTTATGAAGAGATCCAGGTATTCCTGCCAGTATTTGAGAAAATGGGAGGCAAAAGTGGCGGTTTACCCAACAAAGTGACACATTTGGGTCTTCTACCTTTTTCAAACCCTTGTAACTTTTTTATTATTAAGGCGATCGGACTCAAAATTTTGATTCCCACAGACGTTCATACTTACTCTGAGCTTCTAAAGCGGCAATGTTCTGCGTGCTTTAAGTAAGGAGTTATTCTAAATGGAAATATACACTTTTTAACAAA